CATACTGGAGAGAAACCCTATGAATGTAATCAGTGTGGTAAAGCCTTTGCACATCCCAGTAGTTTCCAAAAACATAAAAGAACCCATAGTCGAGAGAAACCCTATGAATGTAATTAGTGTGGTAAAGGCTTTGCACAGCACGTTCATCTTCAAAATCATGAAAGAACCCACACTTGAGAGAAACTCTATGAATGTATTCAGTGTGGTAAAGCAATTGTTGTGTCACAGTTATCCCCAGATGCATGAAAGAAGCTGTACTGGAGAGAAACCCTATGAATGTAAGCAGTGTGGTGAATCCTTTTTACAGCACATTCATCTACAAAGTCATGAAATTCGCCTTGCTGGACAGAAACCCCTACAAATGTAATCAGTGTTGTAAAGCCTTTGTGTGTCACAGTAGTCACCAAACACATGAAAGAACCCATACTGGAGAGAAACCCTATGGATATAATCAATGTGGTAAAGCCTTTGCATGTATAGTGATCTCTGGAAAAATAATAGAACCCCTACTGGAGAGAAACATTACTTATATAATTAGTGGATAAAGGCTTTATTTATCATAGTCATCTTTAAAGACATGAACTAACATTGCTGTAGATAAACTCTATGAATGTAATGAGTGTGGTAAAGCCTTTGTTCTTCACAGTACTCTTCAAATGCATAAAAGATCATACACTGGAGATAAACTCTATAAATGTAATCAGTGTGGTAAGGCATTTGCATGTATGAATAATCTAAATCATGAGAAATATCATACATCATAGAAACCCTGTAAGTGGTTTTATTGTGATAAAGTTTTGTACCTTATATTGGAGTAAAACTTTTTATGTGCAACGATCTCTTAAAATCTTTGTATATTTCAATAGACATTGACTACCTGAAAAAGATACTGAGGACTTCTTATTATAAAGTATTTGGTAATATCTTTAGCCAAAACACTTATAATAAGCTACACAATGATCTGGTTTTCCCATCTGTATGTTGTGAATGTGTTTTGTTACCATTGTTTAATAAAGAAGCTGCTTTGGGCATATGGCAGGGCAGAATATAGCAAGGCAGGAATTTCAAGCAGAGATAGAGGAGAAAAGAAAGTGGAGTCAGACTCCATGTATCTGCTGAAGGAGACAGATGCCCTGGAACCTTACTGATAAATTACAAGTCTTGTGATAAAATACAAAATGATAGGAATGGGGTGGTTTAAGATGTCAGTGCTAGTTAACAAGAATCCTGAACCAATAGGCCAATTAGTATAGCTTGTGTGTGATTATTTTGGGTCTGGGCAGCCAGGAATGAACAAGAATCCTCTGTGTATAACACAAGACTATTTCTTCTGTAGAAATGAATTTGACATCTTCAAGCATTATGATGTCCTTTTACTACTGTTTGTACTTATAATCATGGTAAAATGAATTTATGAAGCCCTATGTGTAGGGTAAGTGGGCCAGCTAAAGAAACACATACTGACCCTGAAACCAGAGCCATTGAAGTATACAATTTTGACTCTGAAATTGGAGCCAAAGAAATACATCCTGATTTTAAGATCAAGACAAAGAAACACACTTTGTTCCTGAATCCAGAGCCAATAAACGAAACACCTGACTCTCAAACCAGACTCTAAAGTTTATCAGGGGCCAGTGAAAGAACACACTTTGGCCCTGAAACAAGTGCCAAAAAACACTCTACCCTTGACCACCTGAGCATAAAACTGGCTAATACCTAAACTTCAGATCTACCAACACCTGAGCATGAAATTCAGCCAATCTCTGTATTGTTCAAGATGAAGGATTGACATCTAAACAATTCCCACCCTGAGAATCCTCTCCCTGGGCAATCTCTGCCCCTAAGAACTTCTATATAAGTTCTGCACATGTTCATTTGAAATCTACCTATTTCTGTCCTGGCAGAGGCAGTCCTTCTCCTGGATTCTTGCCTTCCAAATGAATTTCTTTAAATTTGGGTGAAGACCTTTGACTGGGGTGATCAAAAGTTTTGTAGTGTATTTGAACAGAGAAGCTTTGGACACCTCTGCTGGCAAACCCCCTTAAAGGAGCAGAGACGAAGTAGTGATTCTTCATCAGAGACTGCAACATTTCTGCAACAGTTTCCCATCAACTCCAGTGAAGCAGAGAAGTAACAAATTGGGCTGAAGCTGAGAAAAAAAAATGACATCTCTGTTAGGAAACTCCTCAGTCGGGTGAACAGAGAAGCATTAGACACCTCTGCTAGGAAACTCCCTTAGGGAAGTGGAGCAGAACAGCAATGGATGTCTCTGCTTTGAAGCTCTCTTAACAGAGTGAAACAGGACACAGATGTGATGGTTCTATTTTGTAGGAGAGCAGTGTTGCTACATCCTTTAGGGGAACATCTCCCACTGGAACACAGCTTCGGGTATAGCCGGACTTCCCAATAGTCAGTATATGTCAGGGACCATCTTTGACAAGTATACCACTTACCAGGGTAGGGGTATGGGGATTAGAACATAAGTAAAGAGAATGAAGACTCAAGTGAAAATAATAAAACAGAAGCATAAGATAGTACCAGGAGGTAGTTCCTGTGAATACTGTAAATCTGCCTGTATTTAATTCTTCATAAATTTTTTTAAAAAAGATTTATTTATTGTGTATATGTTTTTCTGCCTACATGCATGCTTGCAGGCCAGAAAAGGCAGCTGATGTCATTACAGATGGTTTTAAGCCACCATGTGGTTGTTGGGAATTGAACTCAGGACCGTTAGATGAGCAGGCAGTGAGTGCTCTTAATCACTGAGCCATCTTTCCAGCCCAATTTTTCATATACTTTTATACCCCAACACAACGGAGGGAAGAAGACGAAAGCCTGCTCTAGCATAATGCAAAAGACAACAAGAACAGTTACTTCCTTCAATACTTTCATCCACCAAGTCCTTAATTATTGAGAAAAACATTCTGTTATGCAGGCAGTGAACCCTTCCTAGACCAAGTATGCAAGAGGCAGTCATTCCCTAAGTCAAACCTCTTAATTCAAAGAAGTAGCAGAAGTATGAACTATGTTTGGATTCTTTCACCTTTGCTCAAGAGGGAGTTGATTTACCCGTATGGGCTCTCTTAAAGCCCAAAACACAAAACAACCAGACTTTAAGTCAAGGTGTGTAGTCACATCTGTTAACAATTCTGACCAACCTCAAACTCTGACTTTCAGATAAGGTGGAAATAGGCTCATGGTTTTGGGCTTCCACAAGGATACCTTTTCACATCATAGTTGTAGGTATTCAATACACTTTCCCTATTCAACTCTAGGTATGGCCCGACTTCTAACAGTCAGGGTACCCTTTTCTTCAGAGCCCTAGGTATTGGGCTACCTTCCCTCCACAGCTTCCGTTATAGCCAGACTTCTCAACAGTCAGGATTCATTTCTCTTTATAGCTATAGGTGTCCAGTATAATTTCACAGCAGTAACTATATCCTGACATGACAGTGAGGGTACCTTTCTCTTCAGAGCCTTTTCTCCACAGTTTCAGGGATAGCCTGACTTAATAACAGTCAGGATTGCTTTCCTGTCACCTGTAGATATCCAGGATTGTAGTTGGAGACTGCTTACGCAGTTTCTGTAGCCATCTAGACCCAAATAGTCACATGGAAAATATATTAAATTCAACACTGTTTAGCCTGTTAGCTCGAGATTCTATAAACTAATTCTTACATCTTAAATTAACCCATTTCTGTTAATCTCAACACAAGGTTGGTCGCCTTATCAATAAGGTTCTGTTCTGGCATCTTTCTCCTTCAATAACTACATTGCATCTCTTTTACTCCACCTAGTCTCTCTATATATCTCTTCCAGCCTGACTATATTCTGCACTGTTGTAGGTCCAAGCAACTTTTTATTATCCAATGACAAATCATGTTCACTGCATACAGAGGGGAATCCCACATCACAGGTTATCTTCCCTTCCCAACTGTAGGTATAACCTGACTTCTGACAATCTGTTGTACAGAGGCCGCTTGTTTGGTTCCCAGCTACCCAACTAGTTTAGATCTGAAATAGCCACTCAAATACTGTATTAATTAAATCACTGCTTAGCTCATTAGCTCTGGCTTCTTATTGGCTAACCCTTACATATCAATTTATACCATTTCCATTAATTTGTGTATGGCCACGTGGCTGTGAGTTTCTGGCTAAAAATCCCAGCATATGTCTCTGGCTGCTCCATGTCATCTCTCTTCCTCTGCCATTCTTCCTCCTAGCATTCTGTTCAGTTTTTCCTGCCTACTTATGTTCTGCCTATCAACAGGCCAAGGCAGTCTTTTATTCATTCATGGTAATCACAACACAAAGGGGGGAATCCCACATCAAATCAGGATATCTTTTTCCCACAGCCGTAGATATCCAGACTACCTTCCTTTCTTAGTTGTAGGTATAGCCTACAATTGTCTTCTGACAGAATAACTGTCCCTCCAGAGCTATAGCATGTGCACTATGCATGTAAACAATAATGTAACCCTTTTTCTTAAATTAAACGGAATCACTGATTCAGGCGTAAAACTTTATTGATTCACATTTGTTCCTTTTCTGTTGTAGTGATATAATTTCTCTATATAAAAATTATAAAATTATAAATATTAATTTGGCCTTTGGGGTATTCCCGCCATCCTTATCTCCCTGGCTGCTCCACAGGGGCAGCTTCCCCCAGCTAATCCCTCTCTCTTGCTACGCCATCCCAGCTTTCGGCCTGGAACCCCTCCCGTCCTCTCTCCCTTTTTCGGGGCTTAAATTCCTCCATCTCAGCCGGGGTGGGCACCGCGGCCCGGGGCAGGCGGTGAGTGCAAAGGGACCGGAGTCCCTTTGTTCGGATAGCTGGCCTGCAGCAAGCTAAGACCGCAGGCAGCGAGTCTTCTGATCAGCGAGGGGCTCTGATCCTGTGGAGGGGTGAGTGTGTTGACCGCCATACAACTCAGATTAGGTACACACTGTATTCCCACCATCCTTATCTCCCTGGCTGCTCCACAGGGGCAACTTCCCCCAGCTAATCCCTCTCTCCTGCTACGCCATCCCAGCTTTCGGCCTGGAACCCCTCCCGTCCTCTCTCCCTTTTTCGGGGCTTAAATTCCTCCATCTCAACCGGGGTGGGCACCGCGGGTCGGGACAGGTGGTGAGTGCAAAGGGAAGGAAGTCCCTTGGTTCTAAGAGCCTGCCTGCAGTGAGCTAAGACTGCAGGCAAAGTGATTCCTGGTTAGCAAGGGACACTAATCCAGTAGAAGAAGACCCAGCGGAGGGAAGAGCCATTGGAGGGCATCTGAAAGAAGAGATGGGCAGGCGCCAAGGCAAAAATTCCTCCAACAATCTGAAAAACAACATGAAAACACCAGATCCCAGCGATCTTACGACAGAAGGACTTGAACGCCCTATTCCGGAAGAAGTGGAAAACAGTGTCATTATGAAAGCAATAGAGTCTCTTAAACAGGGTATGAATAACTCACTTAAAGAATTAGAAGACAAATATAACAAAAAGATGGAAGAAATGTGTAAAGAAATGGAAGACAAATATAACAAAAAGGTTGAAGAAATGAGTAAATTCGTAAATGATACCCTGGGAAACCAAGAAAAAGGTAATGGAATCAGTTAAGAATTGAAAACTGAAATGGAGGCAGTGAGGAAAACACAATCCGAGGGCCGGCTGGATATGGAAAACCTAGGTAAACGAACGGAGACTACAGAATCAAGCTTAACCAGTAGAATACAAGAGATAGAAGAACGAATCTCAGATTATGAAGACACCATAGAGAAAATAAATGCCCTGACCAAAGAAAACAGCAAATCCAACAAATTCTCATCACAAAACATTCAGGAAATATGGGACATAATAAAGAAACCAAATCTAAGAATAATAGGAGTAGAAGAAGGAGAAGAATTGCAGATCAAAGGTCCAGAAGATATATTCAACAAAATTATAGAAGAAAACTTTCCCATCCTAAAGAGGGATATTCCTATGAAGGTGCAAGAAGCATACAGAACACCGAATAGATTGGATCAGAAAAAAACATCCCCTCGCCATATAATAATCAAAACACAAAGCAGTCAGATTAAAGAAAGAATATTAAGAGCTGCAAAGGAAAAAGGTCAAGTAACCTATTAAGGTAAACCTATCAGACTTACACCAGACTTCTCTATAGAAACCATGAAAGCCAGAAGGTCCTGGATAGAGGTACTGCAGAAATTAAGGGACCATGGATGCAAGCCCAAATTAATATACCCAGCCAAGCTTTCATTCAATATCAACGGAGAAAACAAAATATTCCAGGATAAAAACAAATTTAAACAATACGTAACTACTAATCCAGCCTTACAGAGAATACTAGAAGGAAAATTACATCCCAAGGAATCCAACATTGCCAACACTGACTACAATAATTCAGACATCTAGCGACCCTTCACTAGCACAATTCAAAGAAGGAAAACACATACACTCTATTACCCCCCCCCAAAAAATGACTGGAGTCAACAACCAATGGTCATTAATATCTCTTAATATCAATGGACTCAATTCACCTATAAAGAGGCACAGACTTAGAGATTGGTTACGAAAACAGGATCCAACATTCTGCTGTTTACAAGAAACACACCTCAACCACAAAGACAGACACCTACTCAGAGTAAAGGGTTGGGAAAAGGTTTTCCAAGCAAATGGACCTAAGAAACAAGCGGGTGTGGCCATTCTAATATCTAACAAAATCGACTTCAAACTAAAATCAATCAGAAGAGATGGAGATGGACATTTCATACTCATAACAGGAACAACTCATCAGGAAGAAGTCTCAATCCTGAATATCTATGCCCCTAATGTAAAGGCACCCACATATGTAAAAGAAACTCTTCTAGAACTCAAGGCAGTCATCAAACCACACACGCTAATAGTAGGAGACTTCAACACTCTTGTCTCACCAATGGACAGGTCAATCAGACAGAAACCAAACAGAGAATTAAGAGATTTATTGGAGGTATTGAATCAAATGGACTTAACAGACATCTATAGAACACTCCACCCAAATAGGAAAGAATATACCTTCTTCTCTGCAGTTCATGGAACCTTCTCGAAGATTGACCACATACTCGGTAACAAAGCAAACTCCCACAGATACAAAAAAATATTAGTAACCACCTGTGTCTTGTCAGACCACCATGCATTAAAATTAGAATTCAACAACAACGCTACCCCCAGGAAGTCAACAAACTCATGGAAGTTGAACAGTCAACTACTAATTCACCCCTGGGTCATGGACGAAATTAAGAAAGAAATTAAAGTCTTCCTTGAATTTAATGAAAACAAAGACACAACATACTCAAACCTATGGGACACTATGAAAGCAGTGCTAAGAGGAAAGTTCATAGCAATAGGTGCCCAACTAAAGAAAACGGAGAAAGCACACATTGGAGACCTAACAGCACACTTGAAAGCTCTCGAAAAAAAAAGAAGCTGATTCACCCAGGAGGAGTAGAAGACTGGAAATAATCAAACTGAGGGCTGAAATCAACAAAATAGAAACAGAGAAAACAATCCAAAGAATCAATGAATCAAAAAGCTGGTTCTTGGAGAAAATCAACAAGATTGACAAACCCCTAGCCAAACTAATCAAACGGCAGAGAGAGAACATGCAAATTAATAGAATCAGAAATGAAAAGGGGGACATAACCACAGACACAGAGGAAATTCAGAGAATCATTAGATCTTACTACGAAAGCTTATATGCCACAAAGTTGGAAAATGTAAAAGAAATGGACATTTTTTTAGATAAGTACCATATACCAAAGTTGAACCAAGAACAGGTGAACAATCTAAATAGACCTGTTAGTCGCGAAGAATTAGAAGCTGTTATCAGAAATCTCCCTGCCAAAAAAAGCCCAGGACCAGATGGTTTCAATGCAGAATTCTACCAGAACTTCCAGGAAGAGCTAATTCCTATACTCCTTAATGTATTCCATAATATAGAAACAGAAGAGTCATTGCCTAACTCCTTTTATGAAGCTACAGTTACCTTAATACCAAAACCACATAAAGACACAACCAAGAAAGAGAATTACAGGCCAATCTCACTCATGAACATCGACGCGAAAATTCTCAATAAAATCCTGGCAAACCGTATCCAGGAACACATTAGAAAAGTTATTCATTATGATCAAGTAGGCTTCATCCCAGAGATGCAGGGCTGGTTCAACATACGCAAATCTATCAATGTAATCCATCATATAAATAAACTGAAAGAAAAAAACCATATGATCATTTCATTGGATGCTGAAAAAGCATTTGACAAAATTCAACACCCATTTATGATAAAGGTGTTGGAGAGACTGGGGATACAAGCATCATACCTAAATATAATAAAAACAATATACAGCAAGCCGACAGCTAACATCAAATTGAATGGAGAGAAACTCAAAGCCTTTCCACTAAAATCAGGAACGCGACAAGGCTGTCCACTCTCTCCATACCTCTTCAATATAGTGCTTGAAGTTCTAGCAATAGCAATAAGACAACATAAGGAGATCAAGGGGATTCGAATTGGAAAAGTTGAAGTTAAACTTTTGTTATTTGCTGACGATATGATAGTTTACATAAGGGACCCCCAAAACTCTACCAAAGAACTCCTACAGCTGATAAACACCTTTAGTAACGTGGCAGGATACAAGATCAACTCCAAAAAATCAGTTGCCCTCCTATACACAAAGGATAAAGAAGCAGAGAGGGAAATCAGAGAAACATCACCTTTCACGATAGCCACAACAAGCATAAAATATCTTGGGGTTACTCTAACCAAGGAAGTGAAAGACCTATTTGACAAAAACTTTAAGTCTTTGAAGAAAGAAATTGAGGAGGATACCAGAAAATGGAAAGATCTCCCTTGTTCTTGGATTGGGAGGATCAACATAGTAAAAATGGCAATTCTACCAAAAGCAATCTATAGATTCAATGCAATCCCCATCAAAATCCCATCAAACTTCTTCACAGACCTTGAGAAAACAATAATCAAGTTTATTTGGAAAAACAAAAAACCCAGGATAGCCAAAACAATCTTATACAATAAAGGAACTTCAGGAGGCATTACCATCCCTGACTTCAAACTCTATTATAGAGCTACAGTATTGAAAACAGCTTGGTATTGGCATAAGAACAGAGAAATCGACCTTTGGAATCGAATAGAAGACCCGGATATTAAACCACAAACTTATGAGCACCTAATTTTTGACAAGGGAGCTAAAGGTATACAATGGAAGAAGGAAAGCATCTTTAACAAATGGTGCTGGCATAACTGGATGTCAACCTGTAGAAGGATGAAAGTAGATCCATACCTATCACCATGCACAAAACTCAGGTCCAAATGGATTAAAGACATCAACATTAATCCGTCCACTTTGAACCTGATAGAAGAGAAAGTGGGAAGTAGTCTACAAGATATAGGCACAGGAGGCCTCTTCCTAAGTAGGACCCCAGCAGCACAGACAATAAGAGAAACAATGAATAAATGGGATCTACTGAAACTGAGAAGCTTCTGTAAAGCAAAGGACACTGTCAGTAAGACAAAAAGGCTGCCTT